CCCGCGCCGTTAGCTGACGCTCTCTGCCCCTGCGTTACAGCCCGGCCCGCGGCCCCGCGCGGCAGGAGCGTTTCCGGGGCGCGCGTGGAGAAGCCCTCGCCGACCTGGACCCGCGCGGGCGGGCGGAGCTGCTCGGGGAGCTGCAGGTACGGCCGCCATTGCTTCTGCCCGGATTGGCCTATTGCCAGCGGACTCCTACACGTCCCGCAAAACCCGGCCCAAATCACCCTGCCTCTCTGGGAAGCTCCCGTGCCCAGATTGGCCTTTTCCCTCCAGTTTCTCCCAGCGGACTCCTACACATCCGTCAAAACCCGGCCCGAATTACCCCTGCCTGGGAAGCTCCCGTGCCCAGATTGGCCTTTTCCCTCATATTTGTCCCGGCGGACTCCTACACATCCCTCAAAACCTTAAGGGGCAGGAGCCTGAGAACAAGGTCCCTGTCCCCCCCCCCCGGCAGGTTTCCATGGTGACGGGCGCCAGGCAGAGGGTGGCCCCGGGGATGAGGCCCGGCCTCCAGCCCCGGCGGCCGAGCGGGAGGGAGGCTCGGCCTCCCCCGGCGGCCTCGGAGATGCTCAAGGTGGGGACTCTCAGGGCTGGGCGGCCTCTTTTATTTTTATTTTGAGGCCGAGTCTCGCTCTGTCGCCGGGCTGGAGTGAGCGCCGTGGCGTCAGCCTCACTCACGGCAGCCTCCAACTCCTGGCCTCCACCGAGCCTCCCACCTCGGCCTCCCTCCCGAGTAGCTGGGACGACAGGCACGCGCCACCACGCCCGGCTCGTTTTTTTTCTATATATATATATTAGTTGGCGGGAGGTGGAGGCCAGGGCTGGAGGCTGAGGACCCTCGTCCTCTGCTGCCCGCAGGTGACCCTGCGCAGGGACCCCGTGCGGAGGGACTTTGGCTTCCGCGTCTCGGACGGGCTCCTGCGGGCCGGGGTCCACGTCCACACCCTGCGGCCCTCGGACAGCGTCCTCCAGGTGAGGCCGGGCGTGGGCGGCCTCCACTCTGGCCGCAAGGGAGGCTGGGAGATACAGGAGTCTAGCTGCAAGGGATCCTGGGAGATAGAGGAGTCTGGCCGCGAGGGATCCTGGGAGATAGAGGAGTCTAGCTGCAAGGGATCCTGGGAGAGAGAGGAGTCTAGCTGCAAGGGATCCTGGGAGATAGAGGAGATTAGCTGCAAGGAATCCTGGGAGATAGACGAGTCTAGCTGCAAGGGATCC